GCCCCTCCGTCCGACTGCACTCCCGCCCACACGCTCTCACTAAAATCGTCAATGCGCTCCGCGCCCAAAGCCTCTACCCTGATGTTTGAAACCGCCCACACTCGGCTGTGCCTTCTAAAACTTTATAATTTCATACACACAAACTAATACTAACATACTCCCACCTACTAACAGCACTCGGCCCTCTCCCACCATCACTAACCTCTTCCTTAACTGACCCGGTGGGGACCACGGCTCCCCTGCTCGTCCTCATCCTCACTCACCCACGCAAGTCCTCATTTGCTCCTCCACCCGGCACAACACAACGATTCTCCTCTGTACTTGGGACTACCAGGGGAATGCGGCCTAAACGACGTTCAGAAGCGTCGGCCCACTCTTTCTCCGCGTATGCGGGGGGGTGAGGAATCCTGTAGTTCTCGTAGATGTATGTACCCGTCGATAGTTCCGTGCAGCATAGGCACCAAGCGCCTTGTGCACATAATAATGGATTTAAAAAAAAAAAAATTTTATGACAGCTCAGGACCTCAATTGGTGCCAAGCACAGTGGAGTCTCTTTCTCAACCAGTTCATCTTTCACATCTGCTATTGACCTGGTCACCTGAGCACAGGACCAGATGGTTTGTCTCACCATCCAGACCATGAAGTACCACAGGAGATGCATGATAATGCAGGGCAGAGGGTGCTTGGTGAGGAGCAGATAGTGAGGCAGGCAGTGGTGGTGGCAGTGGAGAGGTGTGCAGTGTCAGAAGTGATGAGAAGAGTGGCACAGGTGCAAGTAATAGTGGCATATGGTGATATTGTAGAGTGCATCTGGGTAGCATCACCTGCTGACTGGAAGCTGGCCCCACTGTGGCAGTTGGCAGATGCACCAGCATTGGTGAGGTCTAGGTTGAAGGACTTCATAGTCAACAATAGCCTGGTCTGGTTTTGCAGCTTGATTTATGTGCCTGACAATGATAGGTTAAGCACTTGATTTTGCAGTTATACCATGACTCAATACCTGTGGGGCATCCTGGACAGTCCAACATGCTGGTGCTTATTGCACAGAACTATTACTGGCCTCAGATGTTAGACTTTGTATGCTGGTATGTCAAGGGTTGCAAGATGTGTCAAAGAATCAAGCCATATTGTTAGAAACTACATGGCCCTCTACAACTATTGGAAGTGCTGGACAGACCATGGCAGCACATATCCACAGACTATGTGGGTCCACTACCATTATCAAGAGGATATAACACTATCCAGGTTGTATGCAACAAGGCAACTAAATGTGCACACTTTCTTGAGGCTCACTCCATAGATGATGTGACAGCAATGTGCAATGCATTCATGGGGAGAGTGTGGTGTCTGCATGGAACACCAAAGAAAGTGGTGTCAAATAGGGGGCCTCAGTTCATGGCATAGTATGTGCAGAGGATGTGAGAGAGGCTTGGGATTAAGCAGGTGCTGTCAACAGCACACCATGATAGTCAGACAAAGAGGACTAATCAGGAGCTCAAGGTCTACTTATGGGCCTTTGTGGATTACTACCAAGACAATTGGGCAGACTGGTTGCCATTTGCCAAGTTTGCTTTCAACAACCAAGTCAGCAGTGCAATGGGAATGTCCCCCTTCTACACCAAGTATGCATATATTTCAACATTCTCCATTGACCCTGTTAACTTGCAGTCCATGCCAAAGGCTGATGAGTGCTTGGACTGAATCTGGGAGGTGCAAGGCAAGCTGAAAGGGTTGTTAGAGTTGGCAGCGGAGAGGATGAAAAGGTTTTATAATGCTTGGGTGGACAAAGCACCAGACTATGTGGTAGGAGATTGTGTATACCTCAAGCGGGCAGATCTTCAGTCAGACAGGCCTAGCCACAAGCTTGACTTCTGGCATTTTGGCCTCTTTAAGATCTCACAGAAAGTTTCAAACACAGCATACCAATTGGACCTTCCTGATGGTTGGTCAATTCATGATGTCTTTCATGTCTCTTGCCTGGTTCTGGCTTGCAAAGACACAATCTTTGGATGGCATCAGGAACTGCCACCACTAGTACAGCTAAAGACTGGCAACAAAGTTGAAATCAAGCATATCTTGAGGGAGCGATGGACAAGAGGGGGGGTGATGGAATTTTTGGTGTGCTGGAAAGGGTATGACAATAGCAAGGATGAGTGGCTAAAGGAATACAACATGCTGCATGCACTGGAAGCAATACAGGAGTTCAGGATGAATGAGAAGATGAGAGGGAAGTGTCAACATGGCAAGAGGCATAGCACATGATTGGTGCCACAGATTAGGTGCCACAGATTAGGCACCTGTGCCTGAGAGTGGGATCTTTCTTTTTAATGCCTGCTCCCTTAGAAGGGAGGGGCGAGTGTCATGTTATACCATGTGATAACTAGCTACAGTAGTTATGCCACACTTAGAATACTTTCCTTAGTTTGATTCATTTTGTTCTAGGTATGTTACAACCTGCATTGTACAGTAACAATACAAATACATTTTGTTCTAGTCTCTTGTCATGCCATGTTGCAAACTGCTGGCAAGAACCTAACAGTAGTATCCTTGTGCTCTGGTGGTATCCTTGTGACTTGACTCCTTGGCTCCCTCTCCACTCCTCCTCTCTACACAAAGGCAACCATCACTCTCATCTTCTCCATCCTCATGATCATCTTCACAACTTTCAACATCATTTTCCTTATGTCTCAAAATAGGAAGAAGGCAATGATCCGAGCAACAACCTCCTGTGAGGACAAAGAACCAGGACTTAGTGACCATTCTGCATGGTTTGTATATACTTTATGATTATGTTTTATGAGGAATATTTGGTATTTCTAGTCATGCGCTATCACAATACTTCTCTTGCATTACAAATCCTCACACTTGATATCTTTATATTATACATGTACTATAGTTAAGCATAATTGTCCTAATACCCTCACTTACTGAGACAATAAAGTCATGATGAGTTGTCAACTTATGAATATATTGTTCATGCACAAATCCAATTCAACCTCGAAATTGCTGTAGTAGTTGATGGAAGTTGGATGGTCAAGGTCAGTAGTTGAACCTTATGTGGCCTTCACAATATCACTGCATGGTCACCAGTTTTTCAGTGGCACGGAGGCAAAATTGGATATTACAGAGCTCAAACTTTGCAGTGTGGATCCCTTCTATATAGAGTAAGATGCAAAACTGCATCTCAATAGTCAGTACTGTCACGACCCGTTCCCCGAAACCCCGCACATCGTCCATCAAACCCCCGAACCCCCAAAAGGACCCCCAACGCTCCGCCGAACTTCCGCCCATGCCCCGCGCCTACTTCGGCTAACTCCGACGCCCCCCCGGCTAACTCCGACGGCCCCCTGGCCAACTTCGGTGCCTCCCCCGCAGCCACTGACACTTACCCTGGGCTTCCCAAACCCCGAGAACCACCCCCGCTATTCCCGATCTTTGCCACCCATCATTAACTCGACACCCTGCTTCCTCCGATCTATTCCGGAGTATCACGACAACCTCAGGGCAACCCGCGTTCTCCAATGATCCCATCAACGTATCAGCGCAGCACAATCTTCGATCACAACCAACACCCGCCCACTCCGTCAAGCCCCGCCAAGCCCCGCCGCCACAGCCGACGTACCCCGAAGTCCTCCGGTAGTCAGTATATAAGTCATCGAGTAGCTCTTCGTACTCTAGTCTTGATATTGCTTAACGTTACCTATGGTCTGATTGTTTCCTTTTTGTGTTTCGTGTTTCGTGTCCCATTCTCCTTACTCTCAGTCTCCCGGTCTTATCTCAGTCTCCCGGTCTTATCTCAGTCTCCCGGCCTTGTCTTGTCTCCAATTCGTTATCATTCTCGTTATCGTTTCGTATCTCCACTCGAATCTACTCCTGTTCCATATTGTCTTGTCCGACGCTGTCTCGGTGACTCCGTCAGACCATTGTGCCCAAGTCTTCATCAACCCTAACGACCTCACAAACTCCGCGATTACGATTACGAACCCCGACACTCCTTTACCAGGTCCGAACCTCACTCTTCGCTCGGTCCCGGACTCCATCAGCTCCAAATGATCTCCCATCAAACCCCGGCTCCGTCCCCATTGATCACACAGCCACCTACTCCCTTGCTTCTGCAAATCTCCCGTACGGCCTTCCGCCTGAACCCCGCCAAGACCGTCTCGTTTCCCCACGATCCGACTTCTCCGGACCTTCCCAGATCCGTCTGGATCACATCTCCCCAGCTACCCGCGCAAGCCACCAGGGCCCGGAATGTCTTCGAGTGTTCGGTTACCAATGCAGGGGAATCACACCCGCCTAGTAAGGACTCGCCCAGTGCAGCTGAGCCCCCGGGGTCAGCGGAACCTGACAAGTACCACAAATCACGAAGTATAATTGATGTATAGGTGACTGTCTCAGAGCTCACTGAAACTCATAGTGTGACCGGACCATTTCCAAAACAAGGATGTTGGTCAGAAACTGCCGGCTTAGGATGCAGAAGTAAAAACCCTGCTGGCAGCACAAGTGTTGACATTGGTTTGGGCCTGGCTGATTGTTGCAAGTGGTGCAAATCAATCTGGGTGATCAGAGGATTTTTCTACTTGAATCCTCGCAATCTTGATTGCTCCCGAGACATCTCTCTATGCTATGATAGTATATCTTGAACCATTCAGGCCTTGTCATGTTTGAATTGACTATACTGAGTCCAAATGAACTCGGCCTGGACTTGTATGCCCCCTGTTCATTCAATGTATTTATTGCTACTCAATCTGGCGCGGAATGGATTGTTCTGGAGGTTCATTGGTACTCCACTCAATATCGTTTCCCTTTTACCGCATTTTGTCCATCAAATCAACTTGCTTACCTCGAGGGAGTTTATTTTCATCTTTCTCTGTATCTTCATTACCGTTCATTCTGATCCTACTCTTTGATCTGAATGTTTGAACTTCGCCTCCTATTGTCACTGGCATCTCCTGGCTTGTATTAGTTGATTGTACTAGTTATGAACTCCTAGTTTCTATGGTGAGATGGCCGAGCGGTCTAAGGCGCCAGACTAAGGTATTCTCATCTGGTCTCTTCGGGGGCGGGAGTTCGAATCTCCCTCTCATCATGACAAGGTTGCAAAAATTTTAGCGTGAGCAGCACATGTGAGACTCACAATAGGTTTTATGTGAGATTGCAATTTTTATTTTGTACCATTGTTGTGCTATATGATTGTCATTGAGCCTTCTTGTTAGCTCATTAAACGAACCTATTCGGATTATTCACAGTTCTGGAACTTGGCGGTTGCAAACCTGTGCCCACCCACTGTGGACATTCACTTGCCCATTCTGTTTCCAACTCAATTTGACTTGCTCGGCACTAATTGGGTACTCTGGGTTTTTCAACTCCCTTACTTGTTTAGCATGATGTCCAGCGTTTCGAGCAATGCGCCTGATTATGGACCATCTACAACTATAACCTAGTAAAGGTTTATTGGAAACAGGCCGATCTGACAACAGACTCTTTGACAAGAGTCGAACTACGTAGTACGAGCGTTGTCGAATCCGCCCGTTCCTGCGATAACACCTTACTAGGTAATGTAGGCAGTCGGAAGTACGCTCGTACTACGTAGTTTGACTTCAAGGAGTCTGAAGGCCCTCAGCATGAATATCTAGTCCTTGAAGTACAAACTGTTGGAATCCCAACCAGGCAATATACAAAAGCTTCAGGTAATCACCTAGACAATACGTGTGTGCGTAAGTATAATGACCTCAGTCGCGTATAATAGACTAGATTGGCTGTACCTAGACAATACGCATGCGCATAGGTATAATGACTAAGTACTTGATTAGTTACTGTAGCATAAGGGAATGATAATATGGCATACCCTCAGTCGCGTATGATAGCCTGAGGGTACTCCTAGTGTTTGTCGTACATATATAGAGTGGGAGGAACAAAGCAGTGGTCATCACAATGGCCTTTGCAGCGGGTCGTGGCACTGTACTCGCGCATATCACAATGTGATATTCCAATACAAACTGTATATATCGAAGAGGAGTGTTCAATATGTCCAATTAGAGGGAGAAAACAATAACGGCTCACCAGCCTCTCTTGCTAAAGCATCTATGCTACACATTTCGGATGTTTCTCGATGCTCAATTGTAGCCCCTGCAGCACGCTGCGTCTTTGGTTTGACGTCGAAAACGCGTGAAGCTGACGATGTAACCCTCGCTACCCTTGAGTTCGAGAACCTTGCCCATCCCTATCTTATATGATTTTTTCATTCTCAGTGCCGACGTCATCAACTCTTGCTACCATAACTATACTCTTCAAGGTCATGATCGACTTGACTGAATTACTGATTGGTGAAGTAGAAAGAGCAATCAGGACAGTTCCACTGCATAGTAAACAGTTCATTCTCTCAACCAAATACACGTGGTGAGGAACCTTCAGGTTTTTTTTTTTTTAAAAAATCAATTCTTACATGCAATAGGCGCCTGGCGCCTACGTTTCACGGTACTACGAATAGGATGGTCGACTACAAGGGCCACAGAATCCCTCGCCCCCCCGCATACGTGGAGAATGAGTGGGTCGGCGCTTCCGAATGCCGTTTAGACCGCGCCCCCCTGGTAATCATTTTGGTCATATGGTGGGTGGTGTGGGGTAGGTGCTTTTGACGGATGCAATTATTGCGAGATATTGCTGAAATTTTTCGTGAGGAGAACCTGAAACATCAGAAGAAAAAGGTGAAAGAAGACCTGAGGGACCGCAAAGCACCATCAGCCAGAAGCAGGAACTCAAGATGTGTCGCTCGTCTTTATGTATGTGAATGGCGAGAAAATGAATGAGATATTTTACGAGGCCATAACTATAGTCAAAAGGAGGAAGGAATGTAAGAAAATTTGACTTCAAATTGACAACCAGCTGCTGTGATGTTGGTGTCGGGAAAGGTAATGTATCAAAGCCGGCTCGTACTCGTACAGCCAAATCAAGGACTCCTAGGATAACTCCAGCCCTTTCTCCGGTTTTTTTCTCGTCTTTGCTGTAATCGAATTCCCGTTCAATCTCTGAGATTCCCATTGACACCTGTACTACGTTGCTCTTCCATGTTGGGCGGCCTCATGGTTATCTGGGAAACGCTGTTGGGAACGATTATGAGGAGGGAAGACAAGGCCGGAGGTTATCGGTTATTGTCCTGGCCCGACACTTGTTCATTGTCATGATCTAGCCAATTGGCATGTTTTGTAGGGAAAACCAACCGAGTCACCTTTTCCTGACTACTCATATTACCTTCTCTCTCGATAAGAAGTGTGATTCCTGCTGTCTTCCAGAAAGTTCTCTGAAGGCTGAAAGTATTGTTCCGTTGCCAATCACTGGAGTCTCTCAGCCCCCTTGATTACTTTACGGCACACTCCCGAGGTATCTGGATGCCTGCTACGACAATCCATGCTCCTTGTACTACCCACGATTGAGTCTTATCGCAATTGATGCAAACTCAGTCTAATTGAATCAACTCAGATTTCTCAAGCACCTCCTTCCGTAGTGCACGTTAGTGCCCCCTTTACATCCTCGACATCATCGCTGCTACCTTTGATTTTCAGATGAATTTATGTTTGAGGGGCTCTTCTGCAGCGCATATTCTTACCTCAGTCACATTTCCTCCTAGTAATCTATCTCTGCGGCACTTCATAAGCACATATGGACATTTCCTCAAGAGACTTCACTACTATTCAAAACATAATGGTGGGATGGCTGAGCAATCCATGGTGCCCGTTTGAAATGATTGACATCTCGTTGTCTTATCTCTTCGAGGGCAGGAGGCAAGATTTCCCTCTTATTATACAAGCTAATCGTTTTGTGGAAGATTTCCTTCGTAAATTGCACATATGTGAGCATACCGATGTATGTTATTCATGTTTTACTTTTTCCTTTTGTATACCAACACCATCCATTGCGGTTGTCATATCACCATCACTAAGTAATGAGCCTTTGACACTAACTCAAACCACTTTATATCGCTAGCTAAGCTTCCCTTATTCAGCTATTAATCAACATATTCTTTCGAGATTGCTCAGAAAGTCTTCAACAAAAATTCATCAACGTGTCATTATAGCATCGGCGATATCAATACATCTAGCATTTCAGGAGTTCTCCAACTACGTATTTACGATACATCGCCCGGATATTTGGGTGTTGCCATATTCTTCTCCAGGTTACACATTGAACTTATTCAATTCACACACCGCTCAGGGACAGGAAATCTTCAACAGCACCGCGCGTTAATTATCATCGCAACCGTAGATGGTACTATAACATTGTCCACCACTGTTTTCATCGGCTTAAAGCCAGTCGACATCTGATATTTTCGGCAGAGAAAGAGCTCAATTCTCTTTATCTCGTTAACAATCGCACTATCTTTGTAAGGTTCACGTTTTTCAGATCTTTGACTCTGTTTTCTGCATCCATCGTCTGTCCCACGGTCTATCATCGGCGTTCGAGCTCGATGTCAAAAGTGGATACATTCTCCTACACATTTTAATAATGATTTATCGGTATGGTTCCATTGGCAGCCCCGTCTGTCTTTGTGTCAACGATCACGCCCTGGGGTCCAAACTGTTCACGGTTGATGCTGAACCTAAAGGATCATCAAATGCGTGGAAGGCAGGACAACTTCATGTACATCATGGTCTACTGTCATAATTGTTACAGTTACTGTATATATAAAGTTGTCTATTCATCCTTTGTGCGACTTTTGCAAAAGAGCGAGCGCTTCTGGAGACCGGGCCTTGATTGAACATTGGAATGGAGCTGGCTGACTGAATAAGTGTGTCAGTGTATGCAGTGTAGACACTTTGAACCATGTTATACCTCACAGATCCGCTCAGCTGCCTGAATTCTGGTTCTATGATGTTCCCGTCCTTATCTACACTTTTCGAAATCTCAAGGACAGTAAGTGACATGGCCACCATCACAAAAAGGGATTCATCTGCAAGTACGCGGCCTACGAAATACGATGTGAGGTTACTCAAACATTTGATGATTGTTTTTACACGCCTGGACAGATACTGAGTATATCACAATTGATAAGGTCATATTTAGTTCTGAACAGAAGATTCAAATCAAAAGCCGCGTACCGCCTTCCAAAACCAAATAGAATATCATATATAGATCTTTCTGCAACGTGACCTTCGCTTGATATAAATCGCGAAGGATTAAAGCTATGGGGATCAGCATATGTATCTGGGCTGTGTAGCATGTTCCTTTGAAACTATGAATCACACAAATCAGGTAGCAAACAGCATGATAAGTACCATATATTTGCCACAACGATCGAGCCTTTAGGGATCAAATGTCCCTTATAAATATCGTCTTCCATGACGACGTGGGGAAGTCCTAGAACACAGTAGATGATGAGATGTTTATTTTTAATGGAAAGAGAAAAAAAAAGACCATTAGGAACCACAGTATGCAAACGGAGAACTTCTTGACAGATGGCATTAATGTATGGAAGATTTGCGCGATCGTCATGGGTTGGGAACCTTTCAGTGCCTACTACTGCATCGATCTCGGCATGCGCCTGTATTTGTACTTCGGGATGCAATGACATGAACAGGAAGAAAGCTTTAATCATTGATATCCCCTAAAAGCTTGAGGTGAGTGGATGTCTCCCAAACAGTTCAACAACATACTGTTGAGAACTTCGGAGCAGCTACAGGGCTTATATTCCATTTGAGGTCATGATGTTCATTGGATGACGCCATACTTAGTGACGAGAAGGTTGAAAAAAAAGAGTGACGTTCCGTGTTATTAATCTGGTTCATGTGTGAGCCATAGGTATCAGCATGAGGATGTAAGTTATTGACATACCATTTTATCCATCACGTACTCGTATGGCTTTGTCACCATATCATTCAAATCTTTGCGCCACACTTGCGCTTGCAAATGGAATCCACCTCCTGGAAGCCATGATGGCAGGTAACGAACTGGAATAGGAGGGAATCGCATCATGTGGAAGGTTCAGCTCAAGACTTGCTACTTACGTGGTGGAAAGATATCAACGAGGAATGCACCTGGGGTTGTAGCGACTGAGAATTGTTCCATACCGCGATCAAGAAGATAGATGAAATG